AATTTTCCCTCCTATTGTTGAAATCACAGACTTTTGAACAGGATGACAAAAAAAGGAGGGAGCCTTTGATGACTCCCCTTCCGAGGACCTCTGAAAGCGTGGTACTCCTTACTATTTCACCTTCCAGCCTCTTTAGAACCCATACCTGGCTCTGCTGTTTCCAACACATCCTTAACAAAGAGCCTAGATTCCTGAATCTTTCTGAAAAGTTTTAGTCCATGATGAAGGAAAACAGATTTTGTCTTTTACCTACTTTTACTATTATAGTAACAAAACAGTGCCTGGCACATTGTAGGTGCTCAATAAATGTCCACTAAACCAGTAAGTGAAGTTGAGTACACTTACAAGTTGAGAAATGTGCTGCATTTTGGAAAATAAAAATGAGAAATGGCCCTATCTTATGGAACCCATATGGGACAGAGCATGCTCAGTGAAGCATGCACATTTTGGATCAAGAAATGTGATTATCATTTGCCAGTTCTGATTTCTGCCTCCAGGCTGATAAGATGTGTCCAAAGAGCCATTTTCACTCATTCACAGATACCAAAACAAAAGGGGTCTTTAATGACATATAGGAGCTGAACTGACAGTTATTAGTAGCTAGAAATAGGCAACTGATTGCAAAGTCGAGACAAAACGCTTCAGTCACAAAGACCTTCATGCCTGAGGCATACTCTGCCTTTTCCGCTAAAGTCGTGATGGATTTTTTTTTTAATAATGACAACATAGTTTGCCTGCTCTTAAAATTTTTTTAATCTTCCATTGAAGCAATATTGGAGGAGCTAAATAAATTAATTGATTGGATAATTAATTTTCATGAAAAAAAGAAACATCTTGGCCCTTTGTCATTTCTGTTAGGAGTGTCATCTGTATGAGCAGAGAGGATCAGGCAGGGCTGGTCAAGAAGGCGCAGTGTTGGGGCCTCTTCAGTCCATGTCTTGGTCCAGCTTCTGATGTCATTGGCCCAAAATGATTTCTCAAAACTCCATGGTCCTGCCCAGCGCCCTTCCCTGACCTTGCACCTCTTAGCCCAGGGAAGGATTGTGCATGGATCCACCTGGAAGATGGGCAGCATGGGGAATGGGAACGCCGAGGTCTGATTGCCTGTCTTACCCTTTCCTCACAGACTCAGATATGCATTTGTCAAGTCAGGCAAGTCCCTTGTGTTTTAGAATAAGAAATCTTAGTTTAGCAACCAAACCTCTTGCTGTAGAGATGAGGGAAGTGAAGTCTGGAGAGGTTAAGTAATTTGTTCAAGGTCAACTCAGCAAGTCAGTGAAGCTGAAGCTAGCATTTCTCTTGGGCCTCCAACCCCTGTCCTGCTGTCCTGCTGTGGCTTTAGTTTGAAAAGAAAGGATTGCTTCTCCTCACTCTTTTATCCCCTGGCTATTTCAGTGATTTATCTCTATTGTCTCATAATATTCCTATTTTCAAAGAAAGTCCACCCTATGGTATAACGATTTCCATTTTTCCTGCTGTTTAGAAAAATGTTCTACCTGCATGTCAGTGCAGAGCTTTGAACCCCTTAGAGAAGGGCGTGCTGGGTGTTGTGACCCATCCAGGCAGAACCAGCTGAGTTGGCCACATGGTTTCTCTGCATCGTTTGGCTGTCAGATAAGGGCCACCTGCTAACTGATTGGCACAGTGAAACATAGGTCCAATGTGCTCCCCAATGACATAGAACTTCCTATTAAGGAATGTCAGGGTATCAATATGGCTCTTCTTCAGGAACAAAAGATGTCATAAATTAGATAGACCTGAACAGTCAGGAAAATATGAGTGTATATACTTTCCAGTCTCCCTGCTCCCAACCAGAAGATGTGATCTATCAGTAGAAGATAAATCCAACTAAGCCCTTGGGACTAAGAGAGAGAGAGTGCTGAGCTCATCAGTCATTGGGCCAAAATCAATTCAGAGATGGTTGATAATCTGATTATCTGGGTCAATTTCTGTTTCCTTCTCTAACCCCTTAGGACCGAACTAAACTTTCTCTTCAATACAAACAGTATTAAGTGCCTGTATCTGAAAAGCATGCTGGCAGACATTGGTTAAGTATAAAAAGGTGAATCTTAGATTTGATAGACAGAGCTTGGGCACTGGAGTCAAGAAGGCTTGAGTTAAGAATCCTGGCTTTGGCCCTGCCTAGTATGGTTCAGTGGGTTGGGCATGTTCTGCAAAGTGAGAGGCTGCCGCTGTTATTCCTGGTCAGGGCACATGCCTGGGTTATGGGTTTGGTCCCCATTCAGGGCACACATAAGAGGCAACTGATCAATGTTTCTCTTTCACATCAGTATTTCTCTCCTTCTCTTTCTCCCTCCCTTCCCCTCTCTCTAAAATAAATCAATAAAATCTTTTTTAAAAAATGAAGAAATAATTTTAAAAATTAAAAAGAAAAGAATCCTGGCTTTGCCACCTACTAGCTTTGTGTCCTTTGATAAATCACGTAATCTTTCTGAGCCTCAATTTCAACATGTTTATTAAGTTAATTTTAAGGCTGGGAAATAAATTAGATAATTTATTGAAAATATCTAAGACAGTATTGATCATAATGTAGGTGTCCCGAAAATGTTTGTCATTATAATTGATATAATCACCTGGGAGCTCACTTTTAATTTGTTGTAGGTCTGTACTCTCATCATTTCTTCAGAAACCATGACCAAAAAAAATTCAGAGACAGTACTATTAGCTGCTGTTGCAGTGGCCCGTGCTCTGGAATTGAACTCAGCTCTCACAAATTTGCCTGACACAACAGTGGAATGGGCTGTGGAGTATATAGACCCTAAGAATTTTTAGTAGATAGTGAATGGTGTAGGTGGGATTTCTACATTCTTAAAATGGGTTGGAATCTAGGGTATCTTCTAAGATTCATTGATTCTTATTACCAAGTATTTGTTGTGGCTTCAGCAATTCTTAATAAATGCATTTTTTCAGAGCCATCGGTCAGTTATAGCCACAATTTTTCTGCCTATCAAACCACCCCAACCTCAGTGGCATACAACAGTAAGCATTTATTTCTTGCTCATGAGTCTGTAGGGCAGCTGAGGTTTGACTGATCTAAGTAGGGGTGGATCACTTCCGCTCTAGATGTCTCTCACCTTCCTTGGAATAACAACTATCTGATGCAGGAGGGCAAGAGTAAAAGGTATTCCTAACCATGCAGGTATATTAAAACCCTTTGTTCACATAATGTTCAATAACGCCCCATTAACCAGGCAAGTCACATGACCAAGCCAAAAAGTCAAGGAGCAGACTCTGTCCTCAATGAGGCCAGGGCCAGGATTTAGGTGTTTGTTAATAATATAGAGGGGGCAAGAGTTGGGGACCGATGAAACATTCTTTCATACCTCTGATGTTCTAAATTACTGCAGGACGGTGACGCCTTTCTGCCTAGTTAAGGGGATTGTCCTTATGATCTAGCTGTGACCTCTGATGAGTGATATACCTCTTGGTACCTTGTGGGCCAGCCTAAGAAGACAGGTCCTAGGTGATCACTTTGTAGTTTACCCAGAGGTTGAATTATAATGTTATACACCTGAAACTTACAGAATACTAGTAAAGATTCAATGGTGTGATAAAGGAGTAAAGCAGAGCAGAGGCTAAGAGAATTGTGGGGGCTTCCTCTGCACAGCCCAGCTTTCTATCCAGCCCACATCAGCAGAGAATGGAAATTATTACCATCTAATGACAAGTCAGGGTTCCCACTGAATTGAAATATTGGCTTCCCTCCAGTTCCCCATAACTTTCAGGCCATTTCATAAAAAGCAGCAATGTAACTCATGTGTTAGGTCTCAGATAGCATGCTAGATCAAAGAAAGCATAGATTACTTTGAAAATGTCCATTTTTCTAGAAATTACTCTCCTTTACTATCAGTAATATTCAAAATACTCTAAATCAGGTTGAGTTTAGAGGACTGAAGCAGGGCGCTAACGGAAACTGTTAATTTAACATGAATGTGAATGAAAATCCTTCTCCTGACATCTAACAGAATGCAGGTTTAAAGAATGACCCTCTTTCCTAGCTGATATATCCCTCCACTACCTAAGGGGTCAGAAGCCTCAGATTCGTGCTTACTAGTGGCACCTCTCAGAAAAACCCAGGAACATCCAGGGAAGAATGGCCTCCCTGATTGGCTGGGTTTCTGGGAATCTTATTGGGTGGCAGAGCAGCCCTGGGGTTGGAAGCCTGAGCTCTGGGGTCTATGGCTGAGTTCAAACTCAGATCCACAACTGGGCAGCTCTATAATGTTGGGAAAGTAGTTTAACTTCTGTGATGGTTGTTGATGCTACTCATGGGTGGTCAGTTCCCCTTTCCTCCTGGCACCCAGAAGACTGGGCCCCCAGCTCCTTTGTGCTTGGGCGGTGCCATGTAGCTAGCTCTGGCCAAAGAATTGTGAATAAATGTGTTCTGTGTAACTTCTGGGCATTTAACATTTAATGGGCTGCCACTGAGACTTGTCCTCCAGCCTCTCCAGATCAGCACTTTCCTTGTCTTGATTTATAGGTTTTTTTCCTCCCATAGGTCTCTGGCTGGATCTTTTTCTGATCCCAAAGGCAGCCCTGTCTGTTCTGTCTAGCAGCAGTATGTTACTACATTAGGTTAAACTATAGGAAATTGCCATTGTTTTAGGTTGAATATAGCAAGTTCATATGGTTGAACCTATATGTAAACTTAATTTGAGAAAGAGGAAGAATTTCACCACATACATATTGAATTGCATGTTGTGTCCTGTCAAGAATCCTATGTACTTCTTCCTCCTTACCTTGTGAAGCTATGGGTTATTCTTACAGACGATGTTTTATGCTGTTGTATACAACCCCAACCTCTCACCTGCAACATGCGGTCTATAGAAGATCCTGCTACTGTGTTTACTGACTGACCAGGCAGAGGCTTTTCCCGCTGTCTGTTTTGGGCATCCATGTTCCCACATTGTGCTATTTATGAAGACATCATTTACTATGACTTTGTGGGAGACAATAACACTTCTTTTGTCTAATTTCAGATTGAAGACATCATTACAAAGATGCAAGATGACAAGACAGGGGGTGTGCCCATCAGAACAGTCAAGAGCTTTCTCTCCAAAATCCCCAGTGTTGTCACAGGTAAACATTCTTCTTTCAAGATTTTGGTGGCAATGGGAAAGGCTACTGAAGAGGTATGTAGCCTTGATTGCAACTGGGGGAGGGGGCAGGTATCTAAGAGATACTTTCAACGTGCTTCTTCAAGTTGAGTTCTGGTCCTGGTTTCTGGGAAGAAGGTATTCTATGCCAATAATTAAGAATGGTCTTAACATGCATGACCAGCCCTTCTGTGTATAGGTTAATGTTCTGGTAAATAAAAAGCACATTAATAAACAGGCTAACCCACCAACAATTTGATGACGTATAGAAGCACAGAAATAGTAAAGAAATCTTTTCAGTGTTAAACAAGCTTTAAGAAAGTCTGATTTTCAAATTCTACAAAAAGCTTTGAAGTTTTTTAACTCACTGTACTCGAACACCTAAAAGAAGTGGTTTTAAAAATGTTTTTCTGCCTTACTTTGGGGGGTGGGGTTGTGTGTCTTGTGTGATCATTCACTAATAAAAAAGGAGTGAACATTCTTAAAAAATGTCATATATGGAGAATGGGTCCTTGGTCGCCAGGGATTGGTAGTTGAGGGGAGAGTGTGACAACAAAGAAATAGTACGAGGGAATTTTAGGAGGTGATAGGACTGTTCTGTGTCCGGATTGTGGTGATGGGGTGGTGACCTAAATCAGCAAAAGAAACTGAGGAGTAACCGGAGCCAGGAGGATATGGTTTCTTGGAAGTCAAATTTTCAAGAAAGTTATTTAAGGAACAGTGGAGCTGATCTACTACGTCATAAAGTCAAGTAAGATAAGGACTGAGAATCAGTCATTGAATTTAGCAACATCAAATTCATTGCTGACTTTGATAAGTGCACATTCCATGAAGCATTGAGGGCAAAAAGCCTTACTGGAATTGGTTCAAGTCAGAATGGGAAGAGAGCAATTTGAGGTAGTGAGTATAATTAAGCTTTGAAGAAATTTTCCTTAAAAGGTAAAAAATGCAGTAGTATCTAAATGGGCAAATGGGGTCAGGATTGTAGGATTTCAAATAATATGAAACTGACAATGTGTTTATAGTGATGGGAATGGCTCACTCGAAAAAAGTGGTGCAGGAGAAACAGGGAAAATTTAAGGAGTATATCAGCTAGTAGGTAAGAGATTGAATGTAATGCATAGGTAGGTGGGTGGCCTTGGCTAGGAAGAGGTATGGTTTATTCATAGGAAGAGAAGGGATTCATAGTTGATGCACAGAGGTACAAAAAGTATAGAAATGTGGTGGGAGCTCTTAGAAGTTTTCTTGTTTCTATTTTCTTAGTAATATGGGAAGCAAAGAGAGTAAGATGCTGAAGGTCTAGGGAGAGATTAGACACTATAACATAGTCATCTAGGAGAGTAAAGAAATTAAATTAACTAGGGAAATAGAGTTGTGAGTGGTGGGAAGCATTTAGGATTCTCCTGAGATGATGAATATTTATGAATTTAAAGAGAGGCGATTTTTTTCTACAGCCACATTTAGCTCCCCAGATTTGGGTAATGACTTCATTAAAGCTATATCAAGGGTGAGAGTATGATAAATCAAGAAAGAGGCAAGAGAACAACCAAAATGATTGACCATTAAATTTTAACTGAATAAGAAAGAGAGAACATGAGATATGTGCGGAACGGTGAAGAATAGTGATTACAGTAAATTGTACATCCAGTGGCAAAGGAGTTTTGGACTTGGAGGTGAGAGAAAGAGAGCTAAAAATGTAGGAGATGGTGATTGGATAGTGGGATATCTAGGCTCGCAATATATTGGTGGTGACAAGGAGCTCGGCATGACCATGGGAATAAGTGACTGATACAGGATGGAGATCAAAATCTTCAGAAGAGAGGAGGTCAAGGCACTACGAAGCTCTGATTGTGGAAGACTGCCTACCCTGGCTGGTGTGGCTCAGTGGATTGAGAGCCAGCCTGTGAACAAAACGGTTGCCTGTGTTCAATTCCCTGTCAGGGAACATGCCTGGGTTGCAGGCCAGGTCCCCAGGAGGGGACATTCAAGAGGTAACCACACATTGATGTGTCTCTCCCTCTCTTTCTCCCTCCCTTCCCCTCTCTCTAAAAATAAATAAATAAAATCTTTTTTAAAAAATGGAACTGCCTTATGATCTAACGATTCCACTTCTGGGAATTTATCCAGAGCAACCCAAAACACTAATTCAAAAGAATGTTTGCACCCCTCTGTTCATTGCAGCATTATTTATAATAGGCAAGATTTGGAAGTAGCCCAAGTGTTCATCAGTAGATGAGTGGATAAAAAGGCGATGGTACATTTACACAGTGGAATACTACGCAGCTCTAAATGAAAGAAGGGACTCTTACCCTTTGTGACAGCATGAATGGACCTGGAGAGCATTATGCTAAGTGAAATAAGCCAGTCAGAGAAAGACAAGTATCATATGATCTCACTTATACGTGGAATCTAATGAACAAAATAATAAGCAAAGTAGAAACAGACTCACAGATTCAGAAAACCAACTGACAGCTGTCAGTCAGTTTAGAATGGGGGACTGGGGGACTGAGTGAAAGAAATGAAGGGATTAAGCAAAAGAAGAAAACAACTCATAGGCACAGACAACAGTATGGTGATTACCAGAGAGAAAGGGGAGTGAAGAGAGAGAGGTAGAAGAGGGTAAAAGGAGGATAAAGGGTGATGGAAGGAACTAGACTTGGGGTGGTCCTCACACAGTACAACATACAGATGATGTATTATAGAATTGTATACTAGAAACCTATATAATTTCAGTAACCAGTGCCACCCCAATAAATTCAATGTAAATAAATAAATAAGAAATTACAAAAAATGACGTGTAAAGAATTTTAAAATTGAATAACTCTATACTTGTTTAGAGGAACTGATTCATAGTTTAAAATTTCCCCCAAAACCAAACTAAAGACCAGATTGGCTTCCTAAGTAAATTCTATTAAAGATTTAAAGTAAGAAATAATCCTAGTTCTACATTGACAATGTGAGAATACCTCCCAGATCATCTTATGAAACTAAGATTATCCTGATACCAAAATTAAACCAAAACATTACAAGAAAATAAAAACAAGTGCAATGTCTCATGAAAATCACTGCAAAATTTTTAAACAGAATATTAGTAAATTGAGTCAAATAATATATTTAAGTCAGGAGTTGGCAGACTGTTAAAGCCAAGTGACAAATACTGTGGGCAATATGAGCCATAGAGTCTCTGCTGTAATTATTCAACTCTGCCCTTGTAATGCAGAAACAGCATAGGTAGTGTGTAAATGATAGGAGTGGCTTGTGTCTGTTAAACTGTCCTTACAGAAATAGGTGGCAAGCCATAATTTGTATCTCATAAACAATATATGAAGCAATAGAAGGCAAACACAGAAGAATATAGACTATATGATTCCATTTACATAAAATTCAAAAAAACAAACTATGAAATGATAGTATTGAGAGATATATAACAGGTGACAAAAGTGGCCAGAATAGTATAGAAGTGACTACCAGTTATCTGACCTCTAAAGGACAGGGAGTACATTGTGATTAGGATAATATATTCAAGGAACTACTAGAGTGTCGGAGAAATTTTTTTTAATCTTTGTTATGGTAATGTGAATGTTTTCTTTAAATAATTCAAACATTACTTATCAATATAATTCAAATATTACATATTGATATGTAATGTTTTATGATTTTTTAAAGTTTTCTTTTTCCTCTTTTTTAATATAAAGTAATTTGAAGTCAGGTTAGTGAGTAAGGTACAGGAAATGCCAATTGCCAATGCAAAGTGCCAATTTTGGTTTTAATAAGGTATGACTGCATAAACGAAGCTGGTTTTCTCATTGTCTCTATAAACTGGTTTAAAAGTTTAATTCCAAAAAGGATTTCCAAAAACATTCGTAGCGTAGCCAACACTAATCAAAATAAGGATATAGACTCTGAGGGGACAACTCTGCAAAAGACAAAGTCTTTTAATTAATTAATATTAATTAAATATTGACTATGCTGTGTTTATCTTAACAAATATAGCTCAACTATAACACATTTTATTTAAATGCATGCATTTTTTTATTCTCTTCTAATGAAGTTCATTTTAGTAACAATGTCCTGAAATCCCATCAAGTTATATTGTGAAAGCAAAAGGCATAAGTCTGATATTCTTGGCCTTCATGCCATTAAAATCTCACTCTAAATGTCACATTCATTCATCTTTTTCACATTTTTCCTGTTTGACTTTCTTTCCTTTGAGAAGAGATGCTAAGTGGAATAAAAGAAGGAAAAGACAGCTCATTTATTAAAAGTGAAAATGCACCACATAATCCTCTAATTTGTGCTGTAGAATGTTGTTTTAAACACTTCTATTAAAAAGTCTGTTTTGGAGGGAGATAAAAGTTAAGAAGAGACTGAAGTCCAGATGAATTATAATTGACTCAGGGTTTGGGGACTTTTTAAAAGGAAAAAATGGGAAACCAGTGCAGGCACCGGGCTCTGCGTATAACAAAGGGTGGGGGCTTAGCAACAATGACTTGATTTTATTGAATCAACTGTTGTCTCATCGAATTCTGTGCACTAAAATGGCTGGGTGTGTTGCTGGGAGGAAGACACTAGCAAAATCATGTTGCCAGTAGGAAGTCTATGCAAAGATTGTGAACGTGGAGACTATTAATTTTCAGCTTGGCTCCTCATGCAGTTGATTTTCTCATTTTGTTCTGAGCACAGTGGTATCAGATGAAGCTATCTATAATCTAGGGCAACACAAAACATTTTTAATAACTTTTGTAATAATTATGGCAGGTATTATGAATTTTAAATTTTTAAAGCCAAATTTAGATGTCGTTGTGTTATCTATGAAGGATTTGTTTTTTTCTTAAACATATCGACTTTAACAAGGCATGTTCTGCACAAATAAAGCCTAATTCTACCTTCAGTTGCAACCGCGGGAAATTTGACGTTATTTTTATATAAAACTTCGATTGCCTTGGCCTGTGTGGTTCAGTTGGTTGGAATGTCATGCCATAA